AATGATTGTCATAAAAAGGTATTTATACAAAAAGTATTCACATGAGTCAAAAGTTTTAGGTAGTGGCAACATCTGTTGGCGGGTGACAATCAACTTAAGGTGGTGGCAAACTATATATTGCAATTCTTGTTGAAGGTGTGACCAATGACTACGAATGATGGTTGTCCATAATACTTCTAAATATACTGGATTTCTTACAAACTTTCAATGATGGTGGGTGGGAGGTTACAGGTAGCGCCTTGGAATTCTCCTATTGGTGTTGCGTTTCTGATGGGAGATGATAGTTGTTACTTTGAAGATATTGGGAGCTAGAGAGAAAGGATTTGATATTTTGAGATAAGAGCAAAAATATGAATAACAAAATAAGAATGTCAAAGTATAATCATATCTCAATTCGTTACATTTCTTTGAAATATTGTTTAGTAAGATCAAATTTATTTAAAAAATTTATAACCAATTAGAGATGTTAAGAAACAATTATCGTAAATTATAAACTATAATAATTCATGTTAAATTTATTGTAGAGAAGTAATGAATGTCACAAAACATATTTTCTTGTAGGAACAAGAATGGTAAAACTAAATTATGCTCTCATTTCAAATTTGACATTATGCTCTCCATCAATTTTATAATTAACATTCAAAACTCAAGATTTAACAAAGAATAAGAATCCAAACAAAGAAAGGCAAAGTTTTCTACTACCATCATTTTGATAATGGGTAATGACACCAAGTGAAACAAAATATCAACATGTATAACTTTAGGTTAAGTAAAGATATTATAAAATATAGCAGTTTCAATAGATGTAAGCTTGTGGTAAGGCGAGTTTATTTTAAATGGTAAATATGATATTGAACTTCAAATCGAATTGATTAATTCTCTATCATTGTATAATTTAAATGCAAAGTCTTTCGGAAGAAATTTTTTTTAAGGAGTTAGATAGGTTAAATCATTTTTTTTCAATATAATTTAATTCATAAACACTACTTCACGAGGCTAGAATATATGACTTCTCACAACATGGAAAATTTTAAACATATCTACTAACTTTCAATATATTTAAATTGAGTTCCCACTTTTAACCAAAAAAATTTATTTAAAATAACTATAAATATTATTGTCATACATACCGCAACAAATGATGACTCATGATGGTCAGATGTATTTGGAAGCATCGTGATGGTTCAATGTAGCTTGAGGCAGACTCAATGTTACAATGCCTATTGGAGGTGTGTCCAATGTGCAAATGGTGGTGACCATAATATTGCTAAAGATATTTTATTTCTTACAAACTTGCAATGATGATGGGTTGGGTGGTTGTGGATACTGCTTTGGAATGCGGTTGATGGTGTTACGCTTCTGGCTAGGGATGATTGTTGCTACTTTAAAGAGATTGGGATCAGGAGAGAAAGGATGAGATATTCCTAAATCAGACAAAAATTATGAAGAATGAAAAAATATTGCCAAAGTATAATCACATCCTAATGAAAACTTTTCCTTACACTTCATTGAAATATATATTAATAGGATTAACTTTATTTAGTAAACTTTTAGTCAGTTAGAGATATTATAAAAAAATTATCTTAAATTATAAATTAGAATAACTCAACCATAATGAGTTATGTTAATTTATTGCAGACAAATAATGCATGTCACGGAAAGTATTTGCTGCAGCAACAGAAAAAGTAAAACTAAACTTATTTCATCATTTCAAATTTCACACGAGCCACTAGTTTTAAACATTGGAAACCAAACATTATACTTCTATTTTAGAATTAACATTGAAAACACAAGATTTGGAAAAGAACTAAATCAAAACAAATATAGACAAAGTCTTATACTACCATCATTCTCATACACGGTAATGACACAAAGTGAAATAAAATATCAATATTCACACCTTAAGGATAAATAAAGTACTAGTAAAATATAGTAGTTGTAATAGAAAATGTAAGAATGTGTTAAGGTGGATTAATTTTTAATGGAAAACATGACAACAATTTTTACATTAAATTGATCTATTGTCATCATTGTATATATCACATATAAAGTTTTTCAAAAGAATTTTTTTATTAAAGAGTTAGATTAGTTAAATAATTTTGAATCTACATAAGTTAATTCATAAACACTGCTTCACGAGGGTAGAATACATGGCTTCACACCACATTGAAAAACTAAAACATACCTATTAACATTCAATAAATTTAAACTGATTTTCCAATTTTAATTGGTATTTTATTTAAAATAATTATGAATACTATTGTCATACATATCGTATGGCCAATGGATTCAAATGGTGGTTTCTCATAATACTGCTAAAGATATTAGATTGCATAAAAACTAGTAATAATGGTTGGTAGGATGGTCACGGGCAGCGCCTTGGAATGCAATTGATATTTTGAAATGAAAGTACAAATAGGAAGAATGAAATAAGAATGTCAAAGTATAATCGTATCCAAATGAAAACACTTTTTTTTTTCATTTCATTGAAATATTTTTTAGTAAGATCAACTTTATTCAAGAAACTTTTAATTAGTTAGAGATATTACAAAACAATGATCTTAAATTATAAACTAGAATAACTCAGTCATAAAGAGTTTTGTTAATTTGTTGGAGACAAATAATGCATGTCATGGAAAGTATTTACTGCAGAGACTAGAAAAGTAAAACTAAATTTATTCCATTATCTCCAATTTCACATCAACCACCCGTTTTAGGCATGGGAAACCAAAAATTATCCTTTTATTTAAGAATTAACATTGAAAGCATACTATTTGGAAAAGAGTAAAAATAAAAATAAATAAAAAAAGACAAAGTCTTACCCTACCATTATTCTGATACATGGTAATGACACCAAGTGAAACAAATTTTCAATAGTCACACCTTAAGATTAAATAAAGATCTTGTAAAATATAGTATTTGTAATAGAAAATGTTAGCATGTGTTAAGGTGAATGCATTTTAAATGGAAAATATGACAACAAGTTTTACATTAGATTGATCTATTCTCCATCATTGTATTGTCTCACATACAAAAAAATTCAGAAGAAATTTTGTTTTAAATAGTTTGATTGGTTAAATTATTTTGATTCTACATAATTTAATTCATAAAAACTACTTTACGATGTTAAAATACATTACTCCACACAACATAGGAAAACTTAAACACATATACTAACTTTCAATATAACTTACTTTCAAATAGCTCTTAATATTATTGCCAAACATATCGCAATGACTGATGACCGGTGATGCTAAGCTAATAGTCTAGTGATAAGAAAAATATGATTATCCAAGTGGCTTATGAATATGGTGTCTATAAGAGAAATAATTGGGTTTGAGCAACAACAAGTGTAGTATATAAGTTCAAGTGAAGTATTGAGTTGTTCTTAAAAACCTCACTTAAAAAACATATAATTCAAGAGCACCTTAAAAAAAACAACTATATCCACACACTTAACATATGGCCGGAGAAAACATGTCACCATTTACCATGCAAATGAGACTCAATACTACCATTGCGAACAAGCTCATACAACAAGCATTATTGGGGCCCTTCTGTGCATATATCGATTAGTTTCACAATATTATGATGATGCAATGTGTATAGCATCTCAACTTCCACATTAAATTCATGGTTTCCATCTTGAGCTTGTCATTCTTCTAGACAATGTAGACTCCATGGCTGCAAAACAACCAACCACCCATTTGTATTTAACCTCAGTTATGATATGATTTATAGGACAAAGTAGACAGGAAATAGTCCAAGATATCAAATTTTTTGCCATTAATTCATGAAGCCATGTACCATATTATCTACAATTTATACATCCCACACAATAACAGAAGTCCACAAAATAGATAAATATGATTTTCTAAACATAAATGAGAAAACAATTTAACTTCACCACTTTATTTTTTGGATCACAGATTATCAATATAACCCATTAAATCAAGTAAATTCCCGCTATCTTATAAATCTTGTAAAATAGACATCATTGTCAGTTTGGTTGAACATATGTAAATAAGGATGTAGCATGCCTATGATCTTAGAGGATTCCCATCAAGAATAATTCTCTCTATAAGAAGGTTATTCAAATAAGCCTTAAAAACTAGAGTGATGTCGCCAAGTAACAATAATATCAATTGGTCAAAAAATTAACTTTATAATTGTTGTATAAAAGCAAAGCACTAGAAAGCATACATGTAAATAAGTGAAACCTAATTGAACTATGATAGAATAGACATGTAATGATCAAAAGATGTTTAGATAAAATAAAATTCAAAGGTCATACAACTATGAATTCGTAAAAGTGTAAATAAACAAATTATTTTGCAGCTACATTTCAAGAAATTTAATATAACAGACGTAATCTTTGGGACATGATCATAATTCTAACGATGAGTATAATGAACTAATTTAAATAAAGTGAAAAAGATCCATGCTTAATCTAAGGAATAATATCTTCAAATGCTTTGAAAAAACCTCAAAATTTTTATGAATGCATATGAAAAATATTTTACAAATTAAACACACATAAAGTTTAAAAATGTACCAGATCTCTTGTTTAGAGACCGTGTGAATGGTAGGCCAAACACACTTGATGGTATCCTTACTTTCCTCCATTTAAAAATGATATAAAATGCTCCTCCAACCATGCCCAACAAGAGTAAGATGGAAGATACAAAAATGATGATTATGATTTTAAGATTCATCTCATCCTTCTTGTTGCTGCCGTTAAAGTTGACATTGAATGGGAGACCTGCATAACTTCTGTTGGGAAGGGGTTACTCTCAGTTGATGTTCCATTCTACAAAGATGATATCATCCCTAATACTAATTACTTTAGTCCCAAGCAGTAACATATGACAGGAAAAATATGAAATGTTATTTAAATCAACAAAAAAGTTACCTACCTGGATAAGTAGTGTCGAAGACCATGTAATCACCAAAAAGACTCCTACTTAGAGGAACTTTCTTGTGCCAAAATCTTCAGGATATCAGACTACAATTACGTTGTCAAATTTGTCACTAAGTGGTACCAGGTTAACTTCAACTAAGCTTTTTCCTTTATTTCTCACCTGGATTTGCTTCAAATATGTTCCAGATGCAAGTTCAATCTCTAACTCATTAATTACCTGATAAACAAGCAAAGGAGGTGGATCAAGTAAAAGTAAGAAACTCATGAGAAGTACATAGCCACAAACTGAACCAAACAGAGTTTTTGTGAGTGGATTCTCACAGCTTAGGCCATATGCTGCAGAAAATTATTTTTTTGTACAATGAGTGCATGGCACTATGATACATGAAAAATTAAATGAAATGCACCCTTGGTGTAGTGTGTGATACTAAGGAATACAAGGACTGAAAAGTGATGCTTGAAATAATATATTTCAAAAAAAATTGATTAATGTCATTGAAATTTAAACTTTGAAATTTCTACTAAAATGAAAAGTCTTCCCCATTTCACTATATTAGATAAACCCATTAGACTCTATCATGATGTTCATAAGCACACAATAATTTTATCTTTCAGGTAAAACTACTAAAATATATAAGAATGCTCTTGGATCCTCTAGACTTATAATTATATGATCATTCTTCTCTTATCCATAAATTACTAATATAATACCTCCAGGTTGGAGAATATGATAGTTTATGTGCCAACTTCTAATGTAACGCAGTGCAATGGCTCCATTGTAATTTAACCATAGTCACTTGCAACATGAAAGGCTTTCTACAAAGTCTAGAACTCTAGAACATGAACTTAAGTGGCAAGGGGGTACTAAAAGAAGCTGCATGGAATACTAAAGGTTTAGAAATAAGGAACAAAGGAGACAGGTTTAAATGGAAGATATTCATAATACTTCTAAAGATACCAGATTACTTACAATCATACAATGATGGCTGGTTGGGTGGTTGCGGGTAGCACCGTGTAATGCGATTGATGGTGTTATGCTTCTTGCAAGGAATGATTGTTGCTACTTTGAATACATTGGGAGAAGGAGAGGGTGGCTGGGAAATTTTGAAACCAGAGCACAATTATAAAGAATAAAATAACAATGCCAAAGTAGAATCATATCCTAATGAAAACATTTCATTATATTTCATTGCACTGCTTTTAGAAGATTAGAATTGGTGATTACATTCATGATGACATGATGGAAGGATCCATTTAAATATACCAATTGTATGGATCCATTTAAATTATTAATGAACCAATATATGTGTTACACATAAAAATATATCTATAATTAACAATCTTAAAACTTAAGTTCATATTTCATACAATACTTATAGTCCTTACACAGAAATTACAAACTTACAAAGAAAATTTCAACAAAAATTTGTTGCAATTATATCAAACAAGTTTGTTTCTCTAAATACAAATTTAGTACATATAGACAATATTATGGTAAGAAAAAAATTGTAGATAATTGTATAGATACAAAATTTAAAAGTAATGTAGTTTTATAAATTCATGATATAATTATATCTATAGCACATACAAAATAGAATATAGATCCAATATGCATATTAAAATAAAATGTTTAAAGATATTCCAAAAACCATATGAAATTAGTTTTAAGATCGTAATAGATAATAACTGTTACCTTTTTATTATGGACCCTTACACTCATCTTAATCAAGGAAATTACGGCTGGTTGAGATCTAGGTTGAACATTAGAGAGCATATCATCGAAATATAATACAAGATTAATGAATTCCATTGAATTATGCTTGTAATGGTAGTCTGCAAACCAAATTTTGTTTTTCGCTCACGGATCTGATGGAGAAAAAACAACATAAGGTTAAATAGAAAAAATGATATTGGGAAATATTGACAAAATAATTGACAAAACAAAATAGATGAACTAGATTTTGGCATTCAGATAGCGGTAGTGGAAAGTTTATAATAAAATCATAAATTATATGTTATGAACCAGCATATAGCTATGATCAATTCATTAAACAAGTATACAAGTGAAAGAATGATAGATCAATCATAAAAGATACCCATACCAATGAAATATAGGTCGAAGGGAGAAGGAGATCACCTCCATTATGAAAAACGATGTTGATCCTTGCTACTAGGGTTGAAGTGAATGAAAATCGTAAATTTATATGAAATTTTATGGATAAAGTGTGTGTGGGTGTGCTTTGGGCTGATCCAATGTGTTTTGAGGCCTAAAAATGATTATTGCATTTGATACTTCTATAATTAATAATATTTTATATATATCATTTCAAAAAAAAATATTTTTATTTAGTGTAGTTTTTTAAATATATATATATATATATATATATATATATATATATATATATATATATATATATATATATATATATATATATATATATATATATATATATATGTGTGTGTGTGTGTGTGTGTGTGTGTGTGTGTGTGTGTGTGTGTGTGCATGTGCGTGCGTGTGTGTGTGTGTGTGTACTATTTTAAAATTTAACCATCATTTAAGAAATGAAACTAGTAATTAGTGTATATATTAAGAAGTATACAAAAAAAAATGTTAACTGTTCATGAAATGTAATATCCTATTGTGGGTTGATTTAAATTGTTTTAATATGGCTAAAAAACATGTATCATAAATCCATCGCCTTTCAATGTCACTCACAATGATACAATGTAAACAACATATCCCCATATAATGGGGCAAACAAAGTGAGTCATAATCCATGATAAAGAGTGTAGTTGATAATTGTCGCGTCTAGGATTTTCATTGAAGCGCGAACGTGGCAGAAAAGAAGATTCGCCATCAATGTTATTTATCCCAAGAGATGGATAGGAAACATTAGTGAACCAAAAGGATGGAAAGAACATGGTCACGCGACCAAGAGAAAGGGTAAGGAAGTCGATTATGCAAGGGGAAGGTATTAGCACCCCTCATGTCTGTGGTACTCCACAGGATCCACTCAAGTTTATTCTAATCTAAGGGTGTATAAAAATCTATGGCCTAAAGCTTAATTCTTAAAGGTAATGCATACAAAGTATATACAAAAAGAAATTTTTTATTAGTTGTGGCTGCAATGGTTGCGAATCTTTAGTGCCTACGTACCCCCTTCATGCAATAGAGGATTAGGGCACTCATAGTTCATCTAAAAAGGTGTTTTGATTTATTGTGTATTTTTTATGAATGATGCTAGAGAAGCATGTCATTTTTGAAAAGCTTTTAAAATAAAAAGTCTGAAGATAAAAAGGTTTGTCATTGGTTGGTATTTTTGCTATGGATAATAGCTAGTTGACCTCAAGAGAGAGATATTATCCATTTCTCCACTTATCAATAAAAAGAGTCTTTGAGATTTGAATCTTACAAAAGACTAAGAATAAAAGAATGATAAGATAGAGAAGAAACCCGCTTATCATTTTCATTGCTTAACAGAAGTGTGATTCTCATTATTTATTTATTAAGTGATTTGAAGTTTGAAAGAAAAAGAGTTTTTTTTAACATGGATGCAAAAGAGAAAAGACTGACAAAAGGGGATCTAAATCCTATAAGTTGTCATGCTTGTGGACCTAAATTTAGGATAAGAGGGAGATCTACCTAATGTTATCATGCATGAATAGCAAACCTATGGTCTATTTAGTTCAAAATTAGAGAAGAACGAACTTAAGATCTCGTGGGAACATGGAAATTTTACAAAATAGAAGAAGAAAAAGAAGCAAGCAATCAATCAATCATAAGAGAGTGAAAGAAAATAAACATAAACACATGCAATTAGGTAGAAACCTATGCAGTAATCAAGAATAGAAGAAGAGATGGAAAAACATCAATACCTAACAATGATATCAAGTCATAAAAGTAGGATAGATAAGAGACAAGAGATGATAAAACATCAACACCTAACAATGATATCATGTCATCAAAATAAGACAGAAAAGATATGATAAGACATCACACCAAGATGATAATATATCAAGTGTTAAATCAAAGGAATAGATGGTAAAACATCAAGCATACATGCATTAAGATGGCAAAACATAAATTATAAAAGAAAATAGAATTATGATAAAGCATCATTAAACACATAAATCCATGTGGTAAAACACAAAAGAGATGAAGATCTCAAAAACATACTTGAAGAAGTGAAGAAGGGGGATAATAGAGCAATGATAAGAAATAAAAAGAGCATGGAATAAAAGCACATAAAATTAGGGTGTAAGTTATGGTCCTAGCATTATATAAACCTTAGATTACCCTAAGCATGGCAACATGGGTTAAGAAGATGAAGAAAATGTATAACTAGACTAGTAGAAGTGCAAATGTGCATTTAGAAGACAAAACTTCAATACATTAAAAAGCATCAAAAAAATATAAGACAAGAGGTAGATAAATAAGTATATCATTATTTAAATACTTTTATAAACCATTATTAATGGATTAATGTTAACAAACATCACCTAATCAAGACAAGTTCACATGATGAAAAGAGATAAAACTCAAACAAGTGACAAGATAATACTTGAGCAACAAGTAAGTGGAAAACCATGGATAGGCAACAATATAGAATCAAGAGGATGTAAATACATCCCTAAGGGTCATGATTTAAAGTGTAGAGATCTAAGGATCACAAAAAAGGCAAAAAGGTAAGTACACTAGCATAGGAGCATTCATGTGTCAAATGTTTAACCAAGCATGGCATAAGAAAGTGAATTGAAGTGAGATAGATGAAGAAGTGTAAAAGTAAGAAGTTATAACATAATAAACTAATAATCATCACATAAACACATTTGAGAAAGATTCATATTAAAATTATACAAAGAAAAGATCACAGTCACCCTAAGTGGACATAAGTCCTCATGTAATGCTAGCAAGCAAACAAGTTGAAAAAGAAGAGGTAATGAAGAAAAAAAGAGATGAAAATAGACATGTTATATACTTTAGAGCGCATCTCATGGTCATGAAAAAATCCAATTAGCCATTGAAAATATAGTTCAAACACCAAGGCACACAAACTAGATTCAATCAAAGTTGTGATGTGAAGTGAGAATAAGTGTGTGAAATTGCCTAATATGTCAAGTGAGAGTCAATTAAGAATAAAATACACAAATATAACACATATCAATGACCTCTAATTCCCTTAAGGTATCAATACTCAACCACATTCAAAAGTTGGTACAAGATTAGGTCAAAATCACACCTTAACATGTTCTTAGAGGTGAGGGAAGCACAAGAAATGGATAGATTAAGAGGGGACATATTTAGAGGGTATCAAAGTACACAAGTAAGTATAAAATGATATCTAAGATCACACATTCAAACATCACAATCACGGGGAAAAGAATGAATACATAGCAAATAAAGGAAGTGGCCAAAGGAGGCAAGCAAGCATGTTCAATTTAAGCAAGTATAGATCAAATGGAGAATTATGGAATGTGTAACTTGTATAGTAAGTTAAATCAAGATTATGTTTAAGAGTAACCAAGAATGAAGATGAAACTTCATACCCAAGCAAAGTCACATAACTTGATAAACAACATCATTCAAGGTAAATGATACTTGTCTTAGACAAAAAAGAATTGATAAAGATAAAGTGAAGATAAGGTGATACTTCTAAGTCATATGTCAGTAGCAAACTCCATCTTAAATTATCTATCACTAACTTGGAGCCTCAAGAAATGCCATTAATACAACATGCTCAAGTGTCATGACATACTAGTAAAATATATAATCTCTAATGCCTACAAGAATTGGTGATCTAATTAGATCAAAGTTAAGGTCATTAGATGTTATGGGAAGTAGCCAACATCAAGATACCTTAAAGAGACATAGAACAAAATCTCATGAGGCAATCGCTAAAGAATGATGCTCAAAACATAAATTAGAAGGCAAATGTAGCTTCTAATGTGTCACCATGTTGGTTAGCAAGTGAATACTAACCAAAAAGATCATAGAAGCATCGAGAATTAAGTTGAGAAGAGATGTTAAGATAAAAACTTAAACATAGAAATATTTGACTCAAAGTCCTCAAGAACATTCATCACACATCACATATAAACTAGGTCAAAACAAAGAATGTGGCTCCTAACTTGTCATCATGATGAATTGACAATGAAATGTCAATCAAAGAATCAAAGGAAAATTGATTTATAGGTCATAAGGCATGAGTTAATAAGTATAAGTAAATGGACTTCAACCTTTTTGGATCAATGACACTCAATTGGAAATGTACAAACACATTCTCCTAAACCATGATCATAAAAGATAAGTAAATGACCTCTAAACAAAGTTGAGATGTTAGAGAACTTGAATGGATAATAGACATTAACTCAAGGCTCAAATCATGCTATTATAATGAATAAGGAACTTGATTACTTATAGGCTTCACAAGTGCATACCTGATATCTCACGATTCAAAGCATAAAATCACACATGAACAATTTAATCGAACAAAACCTTTACAAATCAAATAAATTTTTTACAGTCCTCAAGACTTATAAAAGTAACAATCAAACACTTAGGGTTCTTGAATTATAAGGGATAATTGAAAATAAAATTCAAATGACAAGACTAGTTAAGAAAGCCTCAAATTAGAGACCCTAAACCAAATAACTTGGGAAATTTTGAAAATCAATGGATAAAATTAAAGAAATTAGGTTTCATGTCCCTAACATAGTAAAGAACCCTAAGCAACTTGGTTTTGATTTTTAGAAATTGAGGAAATTAGAAAATTAAATGAAACTTCTAGCTTAAGTAAGTGAGTGTAGCAA